TTATGATTATAACTTACCATGTTCTAAATAGTATAAACAGGCTAGTTACCGAGACTTCCTCAAGTAGATTTTGCCTTGGAACTATTGGCTTGCGGTTAATTCGGTACTTTTTGACATTGACAAGTTCTTATTATTTATAGGAGGAAGTTTTTCGATTTGTGCTATAAATTAATGATGATTTACACAAATAATGGTGTCCAGTATGTGTTATTTAGTGCTAAAATCTTTAAATATGACTTGACTCGTTGGTGGCAACTAGCATCTGTGGCTATAGAGCATGAGGCTGAAGTCGAATTGCTATTCCATGCAAATATGAAGGTGAATAAACAAATAATGGACCTGTATTTTCAAGTATATAAGTAATATATATTCAGTTTCTTATTAATCAAAGTAAAAGATCTACTTTCGATTCAAAAAAATTCAAAAAGCTTGTCTTACCTACTTTTACCTTTCCGCGAAGAATTTGGAAAATATATGTTTCAAAAAATTTCCTAAACAGTATAAATATCCAATTTTTGTACAAATGTCACCATTTTCTTCGTTACTATTCATCTGATTCTAAAAATTCTTTCACTAGTAGAATTATTTGTTAGAATACTGACGAAACTGCTAGAAGTGCTCGTAGAGTGTAGTTAACATCCGAGCTGTTGAAAGTATGAATATATGTAATTAGTCATACATCATAATAATACATGATTTTAACGTTTAGAAAAAAATCATAACATGGGGCCCCAACGGCTATCACGTAGCCATGTAGGTACTCAAGTAGTGATGTAGCCATTAATTGAACGCAGCCGACAAATCGACCTTGGCCTTGGCACGGGTTGCCGAATCGTCGAGGTCGGTACGATTGAACGCATCCGGATCACACGGCCTGTATATCGTGCTGCTTGTTCATTCTATTAATATTAACACATCGACTCACATCATGTCATCACTCGTTAATGAGCTAATACCTTCAGCTGTTACTATTTTATGTTGTTTAATAATATATTACTCAAAATTTACAACAGTCGGTTTGACATCTTGTTTATGCGTGAGATTGACAGCGCAAATAACGAGTGAAAATAAATTATGTGCGGTCTGTGGCTTTTAGTGAAGCAATTAGTAAATTTTAAAGTTTCAATTCATAACTAATTCTTTATAAACTAATAAATAATCTGAACTGGTCTACAAGACCACGAACTGTGCGCAAGCGAAATGTTATCATTTGCAGCAAATCGCAACAGTATGACGGGGTAATTGACTGTTGCTGACCTCGAGCTGCCTCGGAAAAATTCGTAAAAACTCGGCTCTCGTCGCTACTACCAGTTTTATCAAATAAAATTTTAAAATACATACGTATGAATTCTTAAAAGAAAAATAATACAGATTCATATATTGTACATATTCTTCCTTCTATCTTTAATAGGTATTATTTTTAAACATACATACGATTTGCAACTTTAATTCAATATGTAGAGCATGTTGTTTAATACAAAAGTTAGGTATAAAAATTCGATAGCATGGCGAGTTCGTGTTTCGAATGCGCTTCATATAACCGCATGTCTCAGCGAGGCCTTGACCGAGCCCGTCGTCCGCGACGCAAAACATTCGGCACATCATCAGTCGTGTCCACGAAGCTCCACGTGACCGCTCACAATTTTTCTTCGAATTTGCCGATTACATTCTCTTATTACAACGTAATTTAATATAAACATTCACTCCCTTCTACGTGACGTATACAACTTACAAATAATAAACAATTTATATTAATTAACATTTTGTATTAATGAGTAGGTACATTTAAAAAAGGTTTGCGCAAGTTCTATTCTGGTAATAAATTTTCGTCTAAAAACATAATACTTTCCAAAATTATAATTAATATTATCTTCATAACACTCAATATTCGCTGGACCTGTTTATCCGGTGGGGTCAGGCGTGTCCGCCTAGCCTGTGTGTCCTTGGTCCAGAACCATGGGAAGGCCGTCCGGCTCCTCAATTGTTACATTCGACTTTCCAGAGGACACTGGCAACCGCGACGAATTCGAGATATCAGCGTCACGTTATCTTTGAAAAGCTTTCTAATAACAGGCACTTTATTTTTTACATCTCTTTTCTCTTTTTATATTTTTATCTTTAAATATTTGACTTCGATAATATTGCAATTTTAATCCGGATATAAAAAAAACAGAAACCATAAAGAGAAAACAATATGGTAGTCGGTTTCATTTTTTACTCAAAAAATGCAAAAACTGCATCCGATCTACCAAAAGCGTTAAAAGTGAATCGATCCTATCGTACCCCGACTGTGGTCAAAGTGAACAGTGCAAGCTATACATGTGGCCAACAACAGACATCAGCTTGTGTCTTGACATGAGCATTTTAAGTTCTATAGTCAGGCTACTAGAATTGAACTTTCTCATAATACTTACATACAGTGTATATTCTACCATGTAATTTAATATTGTGCGCCCCGATATTAAAAAGTGAGGGCAGCGGAAGGAAGTAAAAAAATTGGGCACCCATTCACTTTCACGCATTTATTCGAAGTGCACATATGGCATTGTTGTTGCATTGTCTGTCTTTATTAGAACGTATGTAACTCATAATATTTTCGTATAAAAGATTTCACATCATATATATGTAAATATTAGATACAAATATGTATTGAAAAGATAATTACTACTTGAAAGTTGAAATATATCAAGGATTTGAAGAAGCAAGGGATTTCATGCTAAGAAAAATGCTGTCGGGGTGATGATGCAACTGTATTTACTATCTATTATATATCTAAAATATAAAAAACCAAAGTTTTTTAATGTTTTCAATAATAATAATAAAACTTAATTAGCAATAAGTTTTGACACTAAATATACACTAAGCGCAAAATAGAGCTTATTACAATTTATGTTACATCGGTTTATCACTGCCGACTGTACTAGGCCGAGCCTGTATTACAGACAGATCTATGTCATGTCCTCTAAGGGTTTGTATTATTATGGCCACCATTGTCAGATGGAATAAGTTTCACCTTTATTTAAGACGTTTTGTATGTTTTAACAAAAAATGTCAAAGCAAAAACGCTAACGTTTTTTGTAGCTTTTCTAAATCCAAAAAACTTTTGCATCCTTTGCACAAATCTATAACCATCCCCTGCGTCCATGTGGGAGGATATTTGCGAAACCTATAAAAAGTACTTCTTTTGTTAAGGAAACGAATTGAAGCTCAATAAATTCGGCAAAAAGTGCGCTGATGATGCACAACCCTTTTTACTTTTAGCGAGAGTTTTTATGACATAAGAATAAATATAACTTATAAGAAATTCGAAATTATTACTTCAGTGTTTCCTTTAAACTGTAAAAATCTTTTAAAATCAATCAATACCCACTTTACAAAAAATATATTACAGATTGAAAGCTCACAAAGTATTTCTTAATTTCTATAAAACTGTTGCATAAGATAGAAATAAAAATATTATGTAATCAAGAGAAACTGTGTTGTTCAGTGCTAACTTTTCAAAACAAACAAACAACAGAATAACGTCAAAGATATAGTAGGTAGGTACACTTTTTTATTTATACATATATGTAAAATTTAATATGGGTGAAATAATTCTGTTTATTCTAAATACGTAGTACTATTACTAATTTTACGTTAGTGTACCTAATAAATTAAGTATATTTTTTCAGATTCAGCTCTTGTGTAGTGTACAAAGCGCCTGCGCGGGTGGTGGCCTTGACCGGCCTGCGCCAAAATTTCCAGGTCGTTCACCCGCTCTGACGCCCACTGCCACTCGTCTTTATCTCACATAAATAAATTCGCTCGCAAGCTGATATAAATCTTAAGCCCACTGACTAAGAGTGTAATTACACTGTAAACGCTAACGTGAACGTTATATAAAATAAGTCATTTATGTACCTATCGGTTATAGAAACTTGTTTATCAATAAGCCTTTGCATGCTAAAAGACATTACCTATTGTTGTTTCAGCGTATATCTTATGGATATTGTAAAATATATAAGTAAAAGCATTGCCCGCGTCTCCGCCCGTCTTCAGATGACCAAGAACCAAATTCTTAGGTTTTACATATTAGTATACTCTTACAATGCAGTTTTTGTACTTTTTCTCAGAAATGAGATATTTTCCCGCTGTAAAAGTATCCTATATGTTGACCCGGATAACCAGCTATCACCATACCAAATTTCATCAAAATCCCTCCATCTTCCGTGATACGATAACAGACAGACAGACAGACGAAAATTCTAAAAACTATAGATTCGGCCTCTGTATCTATAATAATGTTTATTTCAATAAGATTTTCCAAAAAATATTTAATGTACAGATTCGGCTTGGTTACAATTTTATTATATGTATAGATATTATTACGATCACACAAGCTAACCTCAGGTAGGTTCGGACTGTAAACAAATATCTAATATGTACGTTGTTATCAACACACAATTGGGAACAGGTGTAAGCTGTATTTATTTATGAATGTATTTAAATAATTAAAAATATCATGTTTCTTATTTATAAATTAAAATTATGTAGTTATACAAAAGAGTGAATGCAAGTTTCAAATTTTATCTTACTGATTAGAAAACAAAGAAATAAAGGAAAATTTACTTTAAGTATAATTGCCACGGTATTAATAATATGACAGTGTAACATTACCGTGTCATTGCTTTTGCTAAGTGTGATAGATGTGCATTGTTTGTGTGATGTAATAGAATATTTATGAAAGTTCTCAGATATATCAAGTGTTTAATTAAGCATATTTACAAATAAATAGTTTTTTGTTGCTGTTTTCGATTTTATTGGATTGGGAAACATTATGGCAATTGATGAAGGGTATCCCGGAAGTGCAATCAGTGCTAGGCTAGGAGGCAAGCGGGCCGCGGCGGCAGCAGGTCACTCCGTCACGCGGCGACCTACACAGTACACGGCGCTCGCCATCCATTAGCTCGATTTCGTGTTCAAGTTCACTCGCGTCCCATCACCAAAAATATTTTAGTAGTATGACGCAACCGAGCTGCGTCCCGCTCGAACGTTCGCGCGCTCTCAGTCCGCACCGCTCGCGCGCGACCTTGGCCGCGGTGCGCCCGCAAGGTTCAGGTCTTCGAACTCAGCGCGCGGCGCGGGCAGCGGGGCGGGGGCGGCCCGCCCGCCAATGGCTGGCCGCGCTCGTCTGCGCGCGCTCACGATTGGTCCGTGGAAGACGCGGCAATGACCTCGGAGACTGGAGTTCGAGGCTCGTTCCGAAACGTAGACCGACAGGCTTCGTACAGCCATAAAGACTATATTCGTTCGACGGACACCGCTGTATCGCCGAAGCGATTGTATCGCACGGAGCGCCGATCATTTCGCAGACTTTCACTCTTAAGGGGAGCCTCGCACGGTTACGAACAGAAGTGCGCGCGGCCCAGCTCAGTTCGTCGTTCGAGCTCGAGAAAGACAGACGCACGCGACGCGAGCAGTGTTAGTTTCGCGCGAGCGACCTTCATCCTTCGCGACGTGCCGATCACGCATTTCAGTTTATGCACTCGTGTCCTATATTCTAGTATATTGTGCATTGGACAAATGTTCAACGACCACGGGTTCAAATGTGGCGTACGTGTAGTGTAGTGTAAAGTAAACTGTTCGTTAATTTTGTTTAGTTTAATCATATGACTCTTAGTGATGTCTCCGGACACCAATCTTGGGCGCTATGATGTGCCAACAGCCGACACCATGATGAACTCTGCTCATAAAGAGAGAGAACCAGAGCTTCATATAGGTAGGATTCGCCCTACGCAAGCTGCCAGTACTCCATTTACGTTTCTTCTACCGCCAAAATACCCAACAATAGCATTAGTTCAGATTAGAAACAATAGATGTATTGATATTAAGAAAAGTTTTTATTGCTATTATTTATATTTTTAGTTTTATTTTATTACTACACTCATGTACCACAAACTTTTTGTATACATATTTAATACTAATCAATAATATTATTTATATTTCGTACAATTACATATACCAAACAATATGCGTTTATATAAAATTTGAGTAGTTTTAAAATTTATTTAATTACATTATATACATACCTCAATTAATAGGTGATAATTCACATTATAGGTAATCCTCTAAGGTACAACTGATGTACCTATTGGGTGCAACTAGCCAGAGTTTTGTTAGACTAGGCACGCGAAGCAAAATCAGATATACAATACACTTATTCAAAAAAACACTTAAGTTTTATTGAAAAAAGTTATTATAAACCAAAAAAAAAGAAATTATATTGTTGTACTGGTGCCAAATAACAGGTTATCGATAAACCAATTATCCGAATAAAAATTTTGAATCGTCTTAAAATTCATTAATTATTATGATAATTAAATAAATTACTGCCTGCCAGTTGATAGATTGGTAACTTGTTAATCATACAAAACAAAAAATATTCTATTGACTTAATTTAGATGTAGTGCATCAATATAGTAAAACCAGTTCTCTTTCTTTGTGGAACAGCTGATCACACTATAGTAACCAACATCATACATAATACACATTACATAAGTATTTTATTTTAATACTTTTAGGATATTTTAACATCCATGAGAACGAAGAAAAATTGATTTCTTGAAAAGTATAACTAACTACTTTTTTCAAGATCTATGAAGTAGAAAGTAATTTTTTTTTACTGATTGGTAAATACTTCTTTTCCTCTCCCTAGCTGACAAATAATAATCTATACATATAATAAAATTTTAACCAAACCAAATCTGTAAATTAGATATTTTTTGGAAAATCTTATTGAAATAAACATTATTATCGATACCAGAGGCCGAATCTATAGTTTTTAGATTTTTTTTTGTCTGTCTGTTACCGCATCACAGAAAAACCACTGGAGGGATTTTGATGAAATTTGGTATGGTGATAGCTGGTTATCCGGGCCAACATATAGGATAATTTTTACCGCGGGAAAATATCTAATTTCTGAGAAAAAATACAAAAACTGTAATTTAAGAATATACTAATATGTAAAAGCTAAGAATTTACTTTTTGGTCATCTGAACGCGGGCGGAGCCGCGGGCAATGCTAGTCTAAAATAAATACTACTAACATTAATCGATTATTTTCTATAACTTATAGTTGTTACACTTGATTAAAATAGAAATATTTTCTTTGTATTTTTGATTAATCGTTTCATGTCCTAACGCTGAATGAGATTGAAAAAGTTTAAAACTAATATATATACCTTAGTTTATATGTCAACGGGAGTTGGTTGCAGAACGAAAGTTTAATAGATTGATTGTTAAATATTGGTATAGGGCTCGTAGTAAACAATTAAAAATCGTTGTGCAAAATGTAATGCACTTCACAGAAGAATAATAGCATTTCGCCCCCTTGCAAATCGATGGGGTTCAATACAATCTGCAGGGAGTCAGTGTAAATTAATGTTAAATTCCTAATGATTTTATCGTTTTCTATTGATTGTATTTAATAGTCTTTTTCAAATTTGAAAAATAACAAAAGAGTCAACCGTCTCGTCTGAGAACTCCCAACCCTTTTTACTATTTGTGTAATATTTAATAAATGATGTACACACCGACTAATGTGAAATTCGAAACAACCATCAGATCGTTGAGCTGGCGGGTTCAATGAATCGCTGGCTTCCGCTTTGGAGCGGCTCAACACTTTTACTTTTCTCTTGAGACTAGTTTCACTACTGACTATATAGTTTATACGACGTTCTATTATAACAATTATATTATATTAATGTTGAAAACGACATCATAGGTATTATGCACAGACCTACTTCATATGATATTATTTATTATCTACATATATGATAGTAAAAAATTTAAGGTTTTATACGTAAATTATTTTCTAAAAGAAATTCTATACGTTAATCGATTTATTTTTATGCAATGCTACATAATTTAATATAATATAACGTGTACGTGCTTAAATTTAAAATTAACAATGTATTTCGAACTAAATGTTAGTTTAATGTCTAAACACATATACATATTTCTAATATTATGAACATGTTATCCGAATAGGAAATATGTACCGTACGTGATTGAAGGAAGGATGTTGACTATTTATTTATTTATTTACAAACAAAGATCGCCCTGACACACATCCACAGCGCCCCGTACACGGTGTGAGAGACTCGTTATATTATTGTATCTTTCTCCTGCTTACACGCTTGGGCGCAAGAATCGCGCAAGAATCGCACGTTACGTGGAGCACTTTCTAGCGCACTTTCCTCGACTCTTTAATTGACGTAACTAGCGAGCGACTCTCACACGCGCTAAACAGAAAAACGTTCCGAGTTACATCACACGTAAAGAAATGAACGCGCTAATGCATTTACAACAAATAATCCCTAACCTGCTTTTCCATTTTACTCTGATCATAGCATGTCTGTTATGCAAGTTAATGGCAAATAATAAAGATGTAACCATTCGTGTTGCAACGAATTTATTCAATGTCACTAAAAAAAGAAAGTAGCACCATAGAAAGCGATCGTTATGAACGTCGACCCGGAGCGAGTGGTTGAGGCCAGAAATAGAAAGTTTGTTCCTAAAGGTTGATACACTCCCTTAACAAATAAACAAACGTAGTGAAGGGAAAGTGAGAGCAGACGGGGGCGCCTAACGCTCGAACCTGTTCCCGATCGGGTCCCGGCAGGCTCTCGGCTCATGTCGTCGTCGGCTACACCCGCGCTTTTGACCTCTACGTCACGCTTGATGCATCCGCCCGCCATCTTATCTACCATTGGCCCGGCAACAAATCGATTCAGTCATTAAACATTTTAGTTATAGTAAAACTTGGTCATGTTTTGTTTAATATACTATCCGTTCAAGAATACGTCTTAAATTGATGATCGATTTAGCTATTATATAGCTTTAAGTAAATTATAACATGTGAAGCAATACGTACGCACTCTCACTAGAAAGGTCAACGACTTCACTCAAGTGCAGTAGACACATCTAGCGCTTTCTAAAATAACTTCAATGTCACCAACAGACGCAACATGATCCCTTGCGTCACATGGTTTATTACCAGCTAATACGATTTGTAACTTGCATAAATAATGCAATTATATTTTTTGCAAAATTAATCGTTAATACTTATTATTTAACATAGATATGACATAAGCATAGATAAAAACAGTCAATATATACCTATCATTTTAATATACTTTATTGACGAAAATTCAAACAACAACAACTATAAGATTGTTGGACCGCTCTCCATTTATATTTATCTACTATGAAACTAATTAGGATACTTACATCATAGCAAACGGTCTTCTATATTTACTTAATCGTATTGTTTGTTTGTTCCAGAGTTTGATGGCACCACGGTATTGTGCCGTGTCTGCGGTGACAAGGCTAGTGGATTCCATTACGGCGTGCATTCCTGTGAGGGATGCAAGGTATGTAACATCATTTATAACAAATCATATTGTATTATTGCTCTATTTTTCCTTCTCTTCCAGCATACTCACCAAAACCTTATATATTATTAAGCCGTGCCATGCCAAAATTGCCATTCACAAGCGTTAACATACCTATGTATATACTTACGTATACAATACTTAATATAACAAAGATAACATCTCGTTTTGTTCTACCTTAAGTATTGCATTCTCAATATCCCGCATAAAAATTATGAACGTTGTAAAGATATAAATAGCTATATAGGTATATGAGCTCGTTGGTCATTCGAAATGTGATTTAATGTGATCATCTAACTGGTATGAACATTTATGCATAGGAGAAAGTGATCACGATATTTGATAGATAACATTTATCATCTTTAGATATATTGACGTCATTCAAGCAGAACATTCACTCAACGTTCTTGTACTAGGTGATGCTTATAAATATTTATTTTGTAAAAGTATATAGCATTTATTTATAAACTGTATACACTGGAAGTGTTTCAATGTCCTAGAGTTTCAACAGCAAGGCCGCGATACACGGAAGACAATCTCTGTACACAGATAACAAAGCTCGACCATGATATTTTTGATGTATAAACTATAAACATTCGAATTCTTCGCTAATTTAATTTTTGCCATACGTAAATAGTATGTGTTATTTTTAATACAAATATTAAAATAACCTAATAGCAAGTAGACTAAAAGATTACCGTAGCATTATATTTCTATCGCATTAATTTTCAAATTATAGTTAACAAAAAAATAGTTCGAAAGCACTTTGGGGTCGCCGGGTCCGTAAGGTACCTGGTGGCCTCAATTTCGTGGTCAGTCCATAGCACCCCAGTTTTATAAGTCGTATTTTTGTTGTTGATACCTGTCGGCCTGTTCGGCGCAATCTCACGGGAACGGGTCGCTATTCAAAATGTTTTATATATTTGATTCCTTTTATATTTTTTTTGGCAAAAGGGACTTGGACTAGTTAACCTTAACCTCGATAGCAACTTTTATTAATTTTTAAGTATACATGATAATTCTAAGAAATTAAAAACATATTTTTCAAATACTACTCTAATTAGAGATGCAATAACAATCTATATCTATATATAGGTCACTTTTAGCACCCGACGCCCGCATGCAGTCTTTCTACTCGAATACTTTTTGTCTCAGTGTAGAAGACTTCCTGTATTGTTTTATTAAGTGCATTTGTACCGTCTGGAAATTTAACCAAAACCACTTACTTGCTTGCACGTGGGACGTAAATACGGGTCGAATATTTTAATGGAATTAAATCTATCTTTTGTGGGAATAGGATTGTTATTTGTTTTACAGTAAAACTTTAGTAAATCATCACGACACGTATATAAATAAGATGATGAGAAAAACCATTGTTTTAATTGTGTGGTGGTTAAAGGTCATATTTATGTGTGCAAAGGCAAAATGAGGAAGACGAGAATAGAAGTGCAAGTGTAACAAACCGGTTATAAGTTACTAGTTTGGTCGCTCGGGACAAAGCGTGTCCTTGATGACTGCGTCTGGATCGTTGATCTACCTTAGATTTGTGAATCTTTATATTTATCTATAAAAGAATTGAGAAAAAAAAATGTCCTACTTATTTTTAATCTTATTATTAAAAAAACCAAATCAAAAAAAATGTTTAAAATTAAAGTAAAAAGATATAATTTACTAGCGTTGCCCGCGGCTCTGCCCGCGTTCAGATGACCAAAAACCAAATTCTTAGGTTTTACAGGTTTTTGTATTTTTCCTCAGAAATGAGATATTTTCCCGCGGTAAAAAGTATCCTATACGTTGACCCGGATAACCAGCTATCACCATACCAAATTTCATCAAAATCCCTCCAGTGGTTTTTCTATGATGCGGTAACAGACAGACAGGCGAAAATTCAAAAAACTATAGATTCGGCTTTGTATCAATAATAATGTCTATTTCAATAAGATTTTCCAAAAAATATTTAATGTACAGATTCGGCTTAGTTACAATTTTATTATATGTATAAATAATGTAAAAAAACATTGTGACAAAATAACGTCAAACTAGCGCCAACTGGTGATAAATTTGTGGAAAACTCAAAGCGGTAGTTCGGCTATTCGAAGCGAGATGTCGCTACAATCGGAAACTACCTAAGCTATCTTGTATGTTCAATTGCGAACGAAAATTGTGAATGAATGGTTTTTACGGTCTACTACGATCGGGGCACGTGTCCATACGCACTGATGTCAACGACCTAAGCTTATTACTACACGTTTTATAAATTATAATCTATTATTTAACAAATATTTAATAATTTTGACGCAGTTAGATAATCTAAAACATATATTTTATAAGTCTCTAAATGCATAACAAATGCTGCTGAAACAATATTTTTATTTTTAATTGACTACAAGATTATATCTGATAATTATTAATATTTTTATATTGCATTCATTCATTATATAAAAAGTTTTTATATAATCACAAAAAACTTTAGTAGCAATATAAAAGCGTTCGAAACATTTTGTGATAATAGATTAATCTACTACAATAGTAATTCTTCATCGCTATACACGTTCTTTGTTCATACCGTGACCGACATATTTTATCGTGTTGTGGGTCGCATATTTTTTCGGCACCGATCTGCAGTACAGGGCTCGCGGTCGTCGACCTGGCTTTAACATCGTCTCTCCTACAGCCGCAGCCTCTCCTTGCCGTAAGAACTTTTACGGTCAACGAATGTATGTACGCAACATGAACGTAGCCTACATTATTTTTTAACTGTCAGTTTATAAGTTCATTGATCTCACGGTATTAAATTTTAACAAGAATATTATTTCGTGATATTTGTGAACGAATGAATTTACGTTTAAGAATTAAACCTAATCAATTAATGAATTAACACTAGTATTAACATAACCAAGACATAGTAAATATTACTTTGAAAAAAAAAAAAAATTATTTAAACTTTGTCTTTCACAATTTATAAATAGAGTAATAATTAAATCGTATATTAACCTCTTATATAAGTAATATATTCACAAAATTTTACAGTAATCCAGGTAAATGAGTTATAAGAATCGTGTACGTTACGAATATAGATTCGAGATATGTCAACGGGAAGTGAATCACAAATATGAGTCAGAGGCTTTGTTATCAAGTGAATATCTGAGCACCGACGAGCACGTAGAGTGGACTGTTAGCTAAAGCGGGGTCGGTCATCGGTCGCGGCTACCTTAGAAAGAAGTTGATGCGTCAGCATATTTTGTTGAACCAATGTTAGCAGTCATTGTCCGCGAAACCGTTAGCCGCCGCGCTAAGCCGCATCGCTGTCGCTTACAGCTTGTAGTGTGATAACCGCGAATGTTCTCGAACATAATCGTGTTATTGAACGTTTACATATCTTAAATATTTTCATTGAGTAAGGACGCGTGTCTGCAATTTTGAAAGACACATGTAAATAATTATTTATGTCCTTGTACTAAGTTAACCTTTACACCATCTATGTGTATATTGTGTATTATGTATATTGTGTTTTGGCGTGTTCCTATATATAGGCTTGTCATCATGTTAACAATTTCTATGAAAAGTTTTATCGATAAAGAATAATTAAAATATTTCTTTTGTTTAAGAACAGATATCTTAATACATATGTACATATATACAAGTTTTAATTATATAAAATATTAGGTACAGTTTATTCGGTCAAAAATATTCTTTAATATTTCGAATAATGAAAACTCATTATGTTATAAATATTTCAAATCAATACGTATTAATTGAAATGATGAAGATTTTGTGAATTGTAACACATATATGTAGGTATGTGATAATTTTGGAATATGCTATATATTTAAATGAAATAAGTCAACTTAAATACAGCGTTCACATATTTAAAATATGTATTATTTACTGAAAAATCTCTTAACAAACTAATTAGTTCTATATTTTTAAAATTAATATTAATCATTAGCAAAAAGGTTTAAGCAATATATGATAAGTAATGCAGTTATAATTAACAGTACATTAACGAGACAAATTGATTAAATTTTAAAGGAGATTTAAAACTATATAAAAAACTATAATATTAAAAAAACTAATATAATATATATAAAACTATATATACATAATAGTTTATTTACTATTTATATTCATTCTATACATAAATATGCGTTAGTAACAAAACAATCAAATATTTTGTACGTATACCGTATTTTACGTTGCCTTGGTCTCATCTATGTTAGTTTTTGTAAGGTTTTGTTTTCGCGGCAGCAGGTCAACGACCGCACGGCCGGTCACTGCCCGCGTTGCGACCAATTATGGGCCACTCGTACAGCGCACAATGGATCGATGGCAGTACGAAATTGGGTCAGCGACCCGAGCGCCTCTCGCCCCGCATCACTCCGGTACAGCTCTGTACAGCCTCCGCCTAATCTCTAGAGTAGTAAACTATGTAAATTGCTATTAATTAATATTTATCTTATCTGGTACACGAGTATTATAGTATTTATTTAGGCGTTTAATGTCACCGATTCATTTATATTCGAGTTATTTGTAAAATTTATTAAGCAATGTAATAAAATATTTATTTCGGTAATCTATATCTAGATCATAATAGTTTATTATTTTATATTATTTTCTTAGTAAAGAAGAATTATTTCTTACCTATTTCGAAAGAAGGATTAGTTAAGTAAGAAAATTTATTATAATATAGTAGTAAGTACATCAAAAGAACATTTGAAAAGTACTAGACAAAATCGTTTGAAATCAAAAAGTTTAATGTTCTGTGTCTATAAGTATATTGAACATTATAGGAAATTAATAAAGGAGTCCTTTAAATTATCTTAATTTTTAAGACAACAAATATATTTTTTTGTTTGTGTTGTAGCCATTATACAACTCTTGTTTTAATTTAAGATAGTTACGCGAGGTTAAAACAATTTCATTTTTTATTATATTATAAAGAAACATACAAAAAAGTGAGACTAGGATAGGTGTAACAATAAAGATCCCTACACATCCGCGATCAGTGAAATAGTGGTCCTATTAATTTAACGCAATGTAATAAATTATATTGATGGAACTCTATTACTTGAACTAAAAAGATATTACTATTATCTATGCATATATAGACCACAAAAAAATTGCAGGACTCGTCTAGATCGACTACGACTAGTAATTAGATTGTTTCACCCCTAGCAAGGAGCGCGTGCGCATTGAGGTAGGCCATGACGCATAACTGACGTCATCGGGCGTAGAGTCGGTCGTCGCCCCGAGCTGGCAGTGTCCTAGCTCCCGGACCGCGAGGGGTGAGGGGACCGTGCAACGCTGTAGAACGCTGTTGTGCAATAGAGCGGTCGTCGACCCGGGGTGAACGGCCTCGCGCCGCGACGCCCGCCGGGATGCGCCCGGCCTATATCCGGCGCACCGGTGCAGTGGCAGCGGCGCATTCTAGAGCGGCGTGGACACCGTTAGGAGCGCGAGCGGGGTAGTCGAGGCGCGCGGGGGCCGGGGCACTCTCACTTTCTCGGGTGGGTCGGCGGCCGGCAAGTAGGTCGCGCGGGTAACTGTGCGCCGCACGCCGCAGCGCCCGCACAGTCCGCTGTCGGCCACCACTCGCGTCGGTGCAGCGCACTAACGTTAACTTTAGACACGAGACTCGTTTCGCGTAAGCGTTAAGTGAGTAGGGCGTGCGACGGTGATAGTGTCCAGTGTGTGGTACTTGCTAGCTTGTGAATGGTGCTCGGTATGGCGTGCGGCGCAGAGTTGCGCGAGCGGCACTCGGTTTTGGTGAGCATGCTTGAAGCGCGGCGAGAGTCCAGCGACTCTGGCTGCTCGAGCGATGAGAGTTCCGACTCTAACTGTAGCTGTGATCCTCAGGGCTTCTTCCGCCGCTCCATCCAGCAGAAGATCCAATACAGGCCCTGCACTAAAAATCAGCAGTGCTCCATCTTAAGAATTAACAGAAATCGGTGCCAGTACTGCCGATTGAAAAAATGTATCGCCGTTGGAATGAGCAGAGATGGTGAGTAAAATTATATTTTTTTTTCTTACTTATAGTTTAGTACGATTATTTTATAGAACATAGGAATCAAAAGTGTAGCAGTATATGTATCGATTTTGTTTTAGAAATGTTTAGGTCCAACTTTAAATCATTAAGGCAAAATTCATGAAAGCCCAATGTTTTGTAAAGTATTTCTTTGTAAAGTAAATATAAATATTAAAAATATCTATTATAGTTAATCCTTAGTAGCGACTGAGTTGAATAAATTAACTTATTGCAATTCATATACATACGCAATGAATACAGCAAGGTTGATCGTGTACCCTCTCGTAATAATTCTGTAATCTGAACGGGCCAAGTGGGTCGCGAGGCACGAGTCGAGCGCGATTGCTACTTCGCGATCAAATCCTATTTCGCGGTGCTGCAAGCGGGGCAGAGGGGCGCGGGGCGCGGGGGTCGGAGGACGTGTGCGGTGTGGGAGGTCGGTTATGCAAGCGCGGGTGAGCGCTCGCTAAGCGGGTCGACGGCCGTCGTCGCTCCGCTCCGCTCGTTGCGACACTTACAACGCTTACGCTTACTGCTTTAAGGCTAAACGCGGTGAAAGCGAAGAAAGGTGCATTTCGTAAGCGCGAAAGTGAAATTTGTGTTTTCACTTTCGTAAAGCGGTTCATCGCCCTTGTATAGTTTCTCTAGAATCATAACAAACGCAATAGGCTTAATTCATTACAATATTTACATTTTTCTTATAATAATAAAAATAATTGGTCATTGTATCATATCACCATGTGAATCAGTTAAATTGGAGTATTACCTACAATGATAATTTTAAGACTGTCTAATTAAAAGTAACATTTTTAAAATTATGATTTATTCTTGGTAGTATTTATTTTTAGTCATAGCAATAAATCCGATTTAAATATATGTATGTGTATGTGCCACATTAAAATATACGTACATATATATGTATGTATATGCTATATATACATATGTACTTATAATTTTTTTAATAATTTATTAACAAAACTTAGTACTTACTCTCATTACAATATTTAGAAACGAACCATAGAAATGAAATGCTTTAGTTTTGCTACTCAACAACAGATGGCGCTTACTTCTTTCCAACGTGTTAAAATGAAAGGTGACCATAGAACGAACGTGATCTTTAGCTTAAACGTAGGTACTTGATTTAAAATATAGGAATAAATAATATTTTATATATTATTATTTATTATATATTTTGAAATAATTGTAAAACAAATTAGAAAGGATATTTTAAACATTTTAGGGAAATCACTTATATGGATAAAAACTTCTTTGTATTAATGAAGATAATTAATGATACCTATAAATTTTATTAAATGCTGTTTATTACATTATAATAAAAGTAAAAATCTTTACATCTTATCAATAAAGTTTGTCATTTTAATTTATTTTTTGAGTTTTACGCTTAAAATAACATCTACGCAACACGTTTTTTATTATTAATTATTGTAATTACAATAACAAAACAAAACATACCATGATAACTATAAATAAATAGAAAAGTTAACACGCAATTGAGGACTCGATACTCGTCTTGAGAATACCAAAGTAGGTAATTCAGTAATAGGATAATTTTACGAGTAGAAATTGGGGATTGTAGAACTAAAAGTATGAGGGAGTCCTGAGAACTGAGAAGTGAGGTGAGGACGGGAAGGCCCACAGCGGGGCAGGGGCCTGCGCGGAGTTTATTGACGGCGCCCCCTCCCCCCTCCCAGCGCGCGCCCTCCCTCCTCAAGTTCAAGGTTGGCGCGGCGCGCGCCGCGGCGCAGTGCGAGGGAGTCCGGCCCGCGCATCGGTCGTCAGCCCTCTTGTTATCGCTATGTCAGTGCGTCGTTCCGCAGTTCGCAACGAGAACTCGAGGCTCGCTCACAGTGGTTGCTCCGTAGCAATACGTTGAATTATATCGCAAAATACGGATATTATCAAAACATTGGATAGGACCGCACATGGATTACAGTGCTTGTGCCTAATATTTTCGTGCTATGTGACACTTGTTATAAATAATTATTAATACACTACAGTTACCAAACTCTTTTATGAGTGGCTTTTGGCTGTGAAATATTTAGTTGATAGTGTAAAAAATTATTATGGTCTCAGATATGGGTGAAGATTTGCCGATCCTTAAAGGGATCTTAAATGGAGTCGTCAAATATCATAATGCTCGTATGTATTATTTTTTAAACTTTTTTTAATAGTTTTAAATTATTAATTTAATCATTTTAAATATTAATTATGAAAGGAGGGCATAAAGGAATCATGTTTCAATATTTTACTTTATTGTTATTTAGAATTACTATGACAATATTTAATAAATAATAATGATTTTATGAATTTATAAATGTTTTGTAAATATACAATAATTTACTAATATACTATAATATTAACACATTTTTTACTTAAAACTACTATAACAATATCTTAACTTAAAAAACTTTGTTTTGGAACATAAACTTATTTATGTAAACGTGTTCATACAATTAATATTATATCATTCATGGATAACTTTCTAATACAATAATTTTTTCCTAAATATAATTGACACTATTAGTTCAAATACGGAAATATACTTATAAAACAGAAAACGAGAACATTTGCATGAGTAACCGCGAACAATAGGTCATGCATCTGGCGTGGCATACTTATGGCAGGGAAAGTCAGGAGAAATGGCGAGAGGGCACTCTCCGCTTTCGTTTTCAATCGTGCGCCGAGCGCGAACACTTTCACCGGCGCACGGGCACGAAGGCCACAAGCGGCGCGCCCGCCCCCGACGTATACTACCTTTCGATCCGCGATGTGAATAGCGCGAGAAAGTCGTAACACTTTTTAGCGTGACCTCGCGGTTCGCGTATTGTCATTCGTTTCGAACTAGTTCACCGAATTGCAATGAGTTTGTTCGAGTCTTGTATATAAAATACGAGGGTTGACTATCAGAACGGGCGATGAACTTTACCCCCTCGTGTCAGCTGCGCGTGCACATGGCCCGCCGTGCACCCGCATATGCGCTCGATATACGACAGCTGCGATCCAATCGTACATAGCTCCTAAACGCGACCTTGCTCAACAGACTAATTGTTGAGCTTTAGTAATTTTTAAATATAAAACAACATTGAAAGTTTTGTTACAATTATTTATGTGAATTTTCTTTTGTTACAGCTGTCCGATTTGGACGTGTACCAAAACGCGAAAAAGCGCGCATTTTAGCGGCGATGCAACAATCTTCATCGTCTCGTGCGCAAGAACAAGCAGCAGCCGCAGAGTTAGATGATGCTCCACGGTTGCTGGCGAGAGTGGTACGCGCTCATCTCGACACCTGCGAGTTTACCCGCGACCGCGTGGCCGCTATGCGCGCACGTGCTCGTGATTGTCCCACCTACTCTCAACCCACTTTGGTAACTATTTTTATATTATGAAAGTTATCTGAAATATAATTATAACTTTTATTACCTTCGTTTAATGAAGTAATACTTAAACTAATAGTAATTTCTTTTGTTCTAGGCTTGTCCGTTAAATCCAGCGCCGGAATTGCAGTCTGAGAAGGAATTTTCTCAAAGATTCGCTCACGTTATCCGTGGCGTGATCGACTTCGCTGGCCTCATACCTGGATTCCAGTTACTCACTCAAGACGACAAGTTCACATTGTTAAAGAGTGGTCTTTTTGACGCATTATTTGTGCGGCTTATTTGTATGTTTGATGCTCCTCTGAACAGTATAATATGCCTAAATGGACAGCTAATGAAACGTGATTCTATCCAGAGTGGAGCTAACGCACGTTTTTTGGTAGATTCTACATTTAAGTTTGCTGAACGTATGAATTCCATGAATTTAACAGATGCAGAAATAGGCCTTTTCTGCGCCATAGTTCTAATTACCCCGGATCGCCCAGGTCTTCGTAATATTGAATTAGTAGAAAGAATGCACGCCAGACTGAAAGCGTGTCTACAGACCGTCGTTACACAAAACAGACCTGATAGACCCGGTTTCCTACGTGAACTAATGGACACTCTGCCTGATTTACGTACATTGAGTACGCTTCATACAGAAAAACTTGTCGTTTTCCGTACGGAGCATAAGGAATTGTTACGGCAACAAATGTGGGGTGATGAAGAAGGATGCTCCTGGGCGGACTCGGGCGCCGATGAGTCTGCTCGCAGTCCTATTGGATCAGTTTCTAGCAGCGAGTCTGGTGAAGCTGTAGGAGACTGTGGGACGCCATTACTCGCTGCAACACTAGCTGGACGCCAAAGGCTTGATTCTCGGGGCTCTGTGGACGAGGAAGCCCTCGGTGTAGCTCACCTGGCTCACAACGGGCTAACAGTGACAGCAGTGCGCCCTCCACCACTTTATCGTAAACTGGACTCCCCTACCGACTCCGGTATTGAGTCTGGAAACGAAAAACATGAAAGAATTGTTGGTCCCGGCTCAGGCTGCTCGAGTCCGCGGTCGTCGCTAGAGGAACATTTGGAGGACAGACGACCACCTGCCCTCGCTGATGATATGCCTGTTTTAAAGCGCGCATTAGAAGCACCGCCAATAACGCGCCCGCCTTTCGATGTGCCACGTCCACGCTCTCTAATGGAAGAAGCGTACAATCGTCATAAAAAGTTCCGTGCTATGCGCCGTGATACGGGTGAAGCCGAAGCGCGAGCTGTGCCGCTAACTCCGTCGCCACAGCCGCCTCAGCATCCGCACCCAGCGAGCCCCGCCCATCCGGCGCATTCGCCACGTCCTCTGCGGGCATCTCTCTCATCGACACACTCTGTGCTGGCTAAGAGTCTGATGGAGGGCCCCCGAATGACGCCGGAGCAACTGAAACGCACGGACATCATCCAGCAGTACATGAGGCGCGGCGAGGTGGCAGGCGCGAGTGGCGCGAGCGAGGGTTGCCCGCTGCGTGCCGGCGGCCTGATCACCTGCTACCGCGGCGCGTCCCCGGCGCCCGAACCCGTGCTGGAGCTGCAGGTGGACGTCGCAGATGCACCACTCAACCTCTCCAAAAAGTCGCCATCACCACCGCGCTCCTACATGCCACGCATGCTGGAGGCGTGAGGCCGGCCTGCGGAGCCGTACGTCTCCGCTACCCCACCCCGACCTACTTTAAATTGAATAAACTATGTAGTTAATAATCGTTCGCAAATCGGTTTAATATATTATATGTGATAATTCGTTTAAGACGCGTGCGTGAGTGGCCGGTGCCGGACGAGGAGAGCGCAATAGACTGATACATAATTTAAGACTATATAAGTATAATTTATAATGCAATGCAGCGCCGGTCGCGGTGTGTTTGTGTGTGTATTGTATGTGCGTATGTGAGCGTGCTCAGTCATTTGTTTGTTAATGTAAAGACAGGTTGTCGAATTAAAATAAAACAAACTTGTAAAAAATATTTTTTGTTTCTTTTACCTCTATGAACTATGAATAAATTACTAAGTCAATGTCTTGACTAGACTTTCTTTAGTCTATAGAAATTATTTTAAAAGAGATATTAAATACTTGATACTTGAGTTTTGAAATAAATTTTAAATTAAAAATTGTTGATATAAATTGACAAAACACTTGACATAATAGTTTCTTTAAATGTTATCTGAAAAGAATATGATTTTATAGAAATGAATACTAAATTGAGCAATGATCAGTAAGCATGTACAATCACTTAACACATGCTAAGTAAAAATTCTTATCTAAACAAAGTACACTATAGAGACAACTAGCGCAGGTTGACGACCGACCTAGGCCTCGGACGGTCTTCCGCTTCAGCCTGCGATTGACCTGCAAGTTTCCTTCCGCAGCGGTATAATACGAGTCATTCTGTTATGATTTCCTCAATCTGCTGCCGGTATTCAAAATTACACTCTAATTTGACATTGAGAATACAAATAATAAATACATTTATGTATTGATTTTAATATTTATATAAATCCATTTAAGTTAAAATAACAAAAAGTAATCTCTTGAAAGCAGAGCTAATTTTATAGAAACTCTAGATTAACAAAAATTGTAAATAAAAATTTATTATATATTAAAGATAGTTATAAGTAAAATAGCAGTTTTAATCTTAATAATCAAACTCTTTAGTACTTACGATATTTATTTAATTTACATAAAAAATATTACAAGTAATTACATAATATTTGAAATTATTTAGATCGGATCATGTAAGATCATCATCTAACATATGACGTTTTCATACCGAGTCCTAAAACTATCGATTTTCTATCAAACGAAAACATTGAAATCGATATTTCTCAAATTAAGGCGACTTTTATTTGATACAATGATGATAATAATAGTGAAAGAAAGAAAAAGTTTATGATATTGATTGATCTTTGTAATAAAAGCTTATTATTGTGCAACAAGATGATATTCGATAGCGGCTATTGACCGAGAGCTGAGCGCATGTCGCCGCGGGCGGTGCGGCGCTGCCCGACCGTGTACTTGACTCCTGCGACCGGTGCATCGCCCGCCTGCACTCCTGCCTCCGTCGCCCTCCCAGCGAGCCTCCCTCACAGCCTCCCACCCAAGTAATCCTTCCACGGGTTATTCGAGGCATCTTCCTAGTGCTTTAATCATATATTCTCTCTAGGAAACGTGTTTAGATAAATTACAATACTCATGATTTATTAGCCTCACAAAATAATGTAACAAAATATAACTTTAGATAATATCTTATATGTACTATAATGATAAAATACTTCTTTATCTACTTATTTATTTAAGTGTATGAATATAAACGATTAGCTACCAATAACATTTGGTGGCAGTTAGGTAGTTAGTGTAAAGCTGTAAATAGTCAAGTCGAGAGACCTTCAGGCGACACACGGTATACGGAAAACCCCGAATGGCTGCCCGCGACCTTGTGCGCCGAGGTCGCGCCCGGGCGACGATCACGGAAACAGGATAGCTATATATGTATATACATATTAAAATAACTAAATACGGGAATATTTGTACATACAATATCTTATGTCGTATCTTATGTAATAGTATGTCGACTTTTTTATTGTAGATTTTACAATATTTTCTAGCTTAAAAAGGTACAGGGTACTTGTTATTTCATTTCGTTCATTTGTTGTATATTCGAGCAGTTAGCAGGTATATTTTCAAGGGATGAGTATATTAGATTTAAAGATATAGTTTAAACTTCTCGAACCATGGTATGGGCCCCCTATACCATAGTTCTAGATCAGCCATACTCAACCTTTTTTTATAGGAGCCACAAACACGTTTCAGTCATGGTGTCGAGGGCCGCAAGCAAAAATTATTTAGGTCTTAATGAAAATGTAATACCAAGTAAACGATATAGTTACTTTTTTAACAAAGATGTGTTATAATGCGATTTTTCATGCTGCCGCATGCGGCCCGCGGGCCGCAGGTTGAGTATAGCTGTTCTAGATGCTAATAAGTAAATGTGAAGATGAACGTGCGCATTTTAGCTGTAGCGGTTACACAGATTTGGGTGAAATGCGGATTGGAGATAACTTATTTTCTGAATACTTTTTATTGCCGTAGCACGTGAAAAAAACTAATATTAATATAGTTTTTTAATTAGTGTAATTATCATTAAAATTTAGATTAATATATCACAGATAGGTTTAAATTATGACCACCTCATATTATAAATGTATAGAACAATAAGCATCTGTTATTATTTATTTGATGAAGCTTAATTTAATTTTTTAGATGTTTAAAATTTAAGTCTACAGACGAAAATGTGAATCAGTAATATGAAATAGACTTCTGTATAAATGAATACAAATCTGATAAATGTTTTATATTTCAAAGCCTTAAAAGCTACCAAGGTCAACGGCAGAACTTGAACAAAACAATTCGTAAGCCCAAAGCTTATTTTACAAAAAAATAATACAAAACGAACGATGTCCGTGTCCTTGCAGTACATCCACCTGTTGGTTAACAAACAGCTTTACCTCTATGATTAATTGGCCAACTCGGTCAGCGATTACTGCCAGTTCTCTTAACTGGTAATACTTGAAGGTATATTAAATTTTGCACGAGGTGGTGGGCCGTGGGTGGTAGGCGCACTGGGTCGAGGGGTGAACGTGGGCGGGGGGAGTCGTGCGAGGGTTGCGCAGGAGGTGAGGAGGAGGAGGGGAGAAGGGGTGCGCAGAGCGCGGGCGGTCGGCTCCAAGGTCGCAGAGTCACAGCCGGGCAAGGTCGCCATGTCCGCGCGTGCCCGTTCGCCCCACCGCCCCTCACACCCGGTCACACCCTAGATTTGCGTGGGACGCGACCTTTATCCACGCTCCGGAGAAGTAATTGTGTATACATACATAAATACTTAATGTTTTTTTCAGGCTTACGTAACGCACCGAGCAAAGTTATCAGTTTCAGGAAAATGTGTACATATATACCTATATACCTAATCTGATTCTCACATGTGTCATTGGATGATGTATCTACGTAGTATGTAGTTTCTTTACTTATGCCTACTGGTTGAAGTCATCTATTAAAATATCAAAAACGTTATTACTTCTACTAAACATCTAAATCAACAATTATAATCACAGATTATGTTTCAGGCAGAGTTGTTGTAGCTACGTTTTAATATAAAGAAATAGTAAATCATACTGTTCGTTCATAAATATAGATTTTTGTGTTATAAAGGGCTTTGTAGTATTTAAAAAACAATTATATAAAGCATATGTAGCATATAATTAGAATACAGGCAGGCCTTTAGTCCCCAATCAACAAATTTTTTCATTCATTCATCTCCAGAAAACTGCTGATGATGATGATGTTACGTAAAAATTAAAGAATTCGAAGATGCGATTTATCGATACTTTTGCTCAAGGAGTAAAAGCATTAGCCGGCTTGATCTAAGAGAGTTAGTCCCAAAAAAACTCAATAGGGACAAATTCGGAAAATATGAACTGAACCGTAGCGTCGATGTTGTTTAGGAATAAAGCTTATAGAGAAGATTCGAAACGAGTATATTAGCTCTGTTAGTTGTAGGACCTAGATTAGGACATAGCTTTTAATATAGAGTCGTGCTGGTAATAATAATTAATATGTGTGCTGTAGATCGCTAATGAGAATAAACATTGTCTATATTATGTATGTAGGTACATTCTAGACAAGATTGACGCTAGATCTCTCTTCTCAGTTGTTCTCTCTTGACAGAGTAGTCGTGGTTGATGACGGTGCATTTTCTCTAGCTAATGCAGCCCCTGCGATGCGCCTCCATTTGTTGCTGTCTTCAGCGTTTCTGGAACATTGGGCTCTGCTTTCCTCTGTCAGTTTGATGGTACTACTCTACACGTCGTATTGTACAACGGATTAGACTAAACTTCGTATACAGGTTTTACGACTTTATAGTTTTTTTATCGTCGAGGATTTTTGATTGCAGGGTTTCTTCCTCTAAAAAAGGCCAAAAAGGGGGCTACTGGATATCTCCGCCTTATAGACCCGATTTCGATGTTCCTTTTTTATTTGAAAGGTTGGCCTTATAAAAATTTGGTGAAGATATGATGAGGATCTTCGGCGTAATGAGTAGAATTGCTCATCCAAATGCAGTAAATTGCTCAAATAACTTTAGTGATATATTAGTTGTTGCAAAAAAACTTAAAAAAGCGACTAATTACTTTTTTGTTTTTATTATTCCATTTTTAGTGAATAGTAGTAACAAAATAAGAAGAAAGTACACTCGTGAGCAAAAAAATCGACTCAGACGACACATCCTGTAGTCGCAAGTCACTGGAAAAAAAACTGAAAGCAAATATTTTTTTTTCATAGTAAAATCTTAAAGCTGCTAGTATTAGCTTCAAAATGATATAAAATATTGTAAGGTTTATTGCTCACACAACCCAACAATATGTTGTGATCAGTAACCACCCTTTTTACGCTAGTTTACAATAGTGCTAATTAAGGGTTACTGACCCATATAAAAGGTTATCTACCTGACCCACCCTTATCAGTTAGCCGTCAAACGTCAACCGATACACATCTCCGTTATCAACAATCAAGAATTCTACCTGAAAATGGACACAACAAACGATTTAGCAGCTCAAGCGATCACCCTATTGCGACAAGGCCAGAGTCAGCGTGAAGTGGCACGTGCACTGAACATGAGCCAGTCTGCTGTTTCCAGAGTTTACCGTCGTTACCAGGAGACTGGTGGCTTTAATCGAAGACGCGGTTCCGGTAGAAAACGGTGCACATCAGAGAGAGATGACCGATTTATTGTCAGCACATTGTTAAGAAATCGGGCCCTCACTGGCGTTCAAGTCCAACAAGAGCTCAGAGAAACGCGAGGAGTAGCTGTGAGTGGCTGGACAGTCAGAAGACGACTTAAGGCATCTAGGCTTGAGCCAAAAAGGCCAGCTACTGGCCCCAAATTAACCCCAGAACACCGAGCAGCCCGCCTACGTTTTGCTAGAGAACATGTTGATTGGACTGACGAACAATGGAGCAGCGTTCTCTTCTCAGACGAAAGTAGAGTGTGCTTGCATGGTAGTGATAGAAGAGGACGAGTGTACAGAAGACCTGGGGAAAGATTCGCGCAGTGCTGTATCAAAGAAAATGTTGCTTTTGGAGGAGGTTCCTGGATGATGTGGGCCGGCATTTCAAGCGAGGCAAAAACCGAGTTGGTTTTTATTGAAACTGGCGGTCGAATGGGAGGATTGACGGCGATCCGATACATCGAAGAGATTTTAGAGGATCACGTCGTTCCCTACGCCGGTTTCATTGGCGAAAACTTCGTCCTAATGCACGACAATGCCCGTCCACATACTGCAAGTTTCGTCCGGCAGTATTTACAGGAGGTCGCAATTGCCGCTATGGACTGGCCAGCGCGTAGCCCGGACTTAAATCCTATCGAGCATTTGTGGGATGATCTTAGAAGAAAAGTTCGGGCTAGAAATCCTGCACCAGACACGATGGCGGACCTCAAAGCAGCGCTAATCGACGAATGGGATAGCATCGAACAAGATCGAGTAAGGAAACTTATTCAATCCATGAAAAAGCGATTGGAAGCTATTATTAAGGCCAGGGGGGGCAACACTAAATATTAAAAAAATAATTTTAATTAAATTATTGTTTTGACGAATTTTACGTGGTATTTTCTTTACCGTCAACCATCACATTTTTATTGCTTAAGACTCCATCTCATTCAATATTTTTTCTTTACCAGAAAACATTTTTTAATAACAATATAGACCACTCATTTTAAAGCTAAAACAAAGAACTTTGAGATGTTAAAATCAGAAATATAATAAAAGCTTCCGATTTTTTGCTAGAGCTTTTTAACCGCAAGCGTGCGTCCTGAGTCGATTTTTTTGCTCACGAGAGTATTTTAAAAATTTTGCAATTGAATAAATCAATCATCCCTATTTTTACACTTAGAGGTGAATTTTTTAAATTTAAATGGGACTACATATTTCGAAATAAACCTCTTTCGAACAAAAAAAAAGAATTTTGCAAATCCTTCTATATATGACGGAGTTATGCCCGAACATACATAAAAAAATATAAATATCCGAATTTAGAACGTCCTCCCTTTTTGAAGTTGGTTAAAAAGTTTGTGCTCGCGAGGACTACTGTTCCCAGAACTACTAGAATTAAAAAGTTTATAAATAAGGTGCTTAGTGCATAAGACTACTGCATAGATTGAAAAGTGAAATCCTTTTCTGCTTTCGTTAGCTCGAAACAGATTTTAATTTTATAAAATTTATGGCAAGTACAAGGTCGCAAAATTTTACAATTACTTACAATGAATACATTACATTACTATGAATATTATTTGGATGATTTTTTCTTTTTTATGTGTGTGCGTGTAAATTTACGCATATATGCATTTATGTAGGTATCTATATATGAATTTATATATGTATCTATTTATCTATATATATAAATGTGTCAAAGCAAATACACCGCCTACTGTTTTTATGAAAACTTACTCCCCATCTCAAGGTTGCCTGGAAGAGATGCTTCCAGCGATAAGGCCTCCTGCTGTGCATCTTTTCTTTGTGTTCTTTTTTATATTTTTTGTTTATTTTTTGGTGTACAGTAAAAAAAATATTTATTTACTTTATTTATTTAAATTCTCGTGACATTTTTTAAAACACTAATCCAAAAACAAACAGCTCAACAAACACCATGTACGATGATTATATTAATATAATCATTAATATATGGTATTATTATGAATAAACCTAAAAACATCATTTTTTACTGACTACAGGTAAAGCGCGTCTCATACAAAAGTAATTTAGACATTTCACTTCTACGATTAGCACAAATACGTTTACAGCAATTTTGAAGTCAGTTTACCTTTTTAGTTACCAAGAAATTATAAATCCTTAAAAACGATAAACAAAATGCTGAAAGACAAATATTTGATTTTAAATATTTTATTATTTATCATACATGGCGAATTCGTTTGAAAGACAACGCATATATTTAAATTGAGGTGACTATTTCCTCATTCGTCGTAACGACAATAGTGTGAGCGCTTATCTGTTACGTAAAGAGCGTTGTTATCAACTCGAATTGTTCGCTTATACTTCCGTCCTCGACCTCTGAGACTTACAAATAATATGTATGTAAGAGTATATCACGTTATACGTGTTGTAAATACTGTTACATAAAACTGTTCTTGATAAAAAATTGAGTCGCAATTTTTGTCTTAACAATGTAAATAACTAATTGAATTCATTGATCTTTTATTAAGTGCTGGCACTGACTTCCGACCTTAAAAAAAGGTTAGTAGGCATAATACATCAATTTATACATATCATAAATACCTTATAAGTTACTAAAGCTATTTTCATGACAATTAGATTGTTTGTCATTTCATCTATAAGAGACAAACAAATGAAACGAACATTGAACTTCATTTAAGTAGGTACTATATATAGGTCTAGAAACAATTTATAGTTTAAGGTAATTATAGAAGAAGTAAAATATAGAATCATTTTAAATATATAGATATAGAAGAATTCTAAATATATAGATATAGAAGAATCTGAACTGTATAACGTAAACTGTGTGCCAATTTTCATTTTTCTGTTCCATTTCTGTTCCCTAAGATTGAAAGAGAAAGACAATGAAAAAAGAGTTATTGCTATTTTACCAATAGTGTATGAGAATTTCTGAGCCATGATTAGAGACAACATTGTTTTTTTTTTACATTAAACATTAAAATCGCGCATCTGTGGGAAAAAA